TCTGGTAAAGTCACTCTAAACAGTGTCAATTAAACATTTCCTCTCCGAACGGAAAATCTTAAAGCTACCCACGTACACCAGAACCGATTTGTGTTTGTTTTCTCAGGTGAACAAAACCTGCCTTTTACGAAGGAAGTTCATTAAAAAGAGCTTGGATCGGGATCTTCTGCAGCATGGCTGCGGAAATCCGAAACACAATCTTTATTTTCAGGGATTAAAATAATGATGCTTCACATACCTTAAGGAGGAAAAGAAAAATCCAACAGTCCCCAAAATTCAGCTTCTTTCAGTGTTCATTTAGAGGCAATGCACTTCTTTTTTTCTGGCAGTAAGAATATTTCACATGATTCTTCTCACAAACAGGATGCCTGGAAAATTGTTACTCAACCAAGATAGGTTTTGAATATGTAATTTGCAATTTGCCACATTCCACTGGGAGGGAGATATGGAGCGAGTCTCGGAGTGTCTTTTTACACCTACTTTCGCCTCCGCGGGTCAGTTCGTTTCCCAGGACCGAATGGCAGAGACCTAGGAGCTGGTTTCTCAGAGGGTCTCTCTGGAGTCTGTGCCCATCTCATGCAATAAAATCTCCGTGTCTGAATGTGAAATGAGCTGCTAGGTAAAGCCTCAGCAAAGAAAACGGAAGGCTTCAGCTTGTGGAAATACGGAATCATTCCAGCACCTGTTTTTCGAGATAAACAGTGTGTTTCACGCACCCTCCTTCACCCCGGCAGGTATTGGGGTGCCGGATCCCATTCAAGAAAACTCCTCACTTCCCTTCTTCCTCTGTAATCATCCCTCAATCCCTCCCCCCCCCTTCCCCCGCGAGAACACCCAGCCCTTATCTTCATAGCTTCACCTTCCATTTTCCCAGACAACTGGAGTGTGCGTATGTGGAAGGAATTGAATAGTACCCCCAAAATTCGTTTGGTCTAGTCCCTGGTAGCGGGAATTTCCTTCCATTCAATCCTGGAATAAATTTCTTGCTGGAACTTTTCTGGAGGGAAGAGAAGCGTTAGTGCAAAACAGACTGAAAAATAAAAATCTTTTTTCCGTCCTGGCATCCATAGTTAGAAAACAATATCAGAAATGGGGAGGGACAGAAGGGCATGGGGACTCATGGGCATTCGAAAGGGAGACCATTGCCCGTATTGATGTCGTTCTCACTTTTTTTTAAACAAACGTAATGGTGTGAGGAGGCGTCTCCAACACACAGTAGCCCTGAGCAGCCGCGGCAGTGCAGACCCAGACACGGCCCGTGTGGGTCCGGCACCGCAGCCGCACATTTCTCTTTCTAAATTCTTTGACTGCTCGGCAGCTAAACGTTTGAAATTTATGAAGGATCCTCATTCCTACGCTTGGTCTGTAACTTCTGTTCGGAGGACGGGAAGGAATACGAGGACGGCGTGGGGAGAGCAGCCTGCCGTCCCCGCAGGAGAGAGCCCGGCGGTACCGCGGAGTGTCCCGCGGTGTGCGCGCCCGGCTCGTCCCAGTGGACAGGCGTCCCCCGAGGAGCTCCTATGCACTGCAGGGGCGAGCTCCTTCACACCACCTCTGGTCACGAAACGTCTCTCCATCACACATAACACCCTTTCACAGAAGGTTTAGGAGATATTCCATCTCTGGAAACACAGCGGCACATCTGCATGCAGCGCTTAATAACCGGGCTGCCTGGCGGAGGGAGTAGGGTCCCTGAAGAAAGATGCTTTTCAAAGCTATCTCACCTCAGCACAGAATTTGTTTTCCTTTTGCCGCCGTCTCCCCCGGGATCTGTCCAACCCCTTTCWGATGGTTTTAGCCCGCTGAAGTCAGCTTTCTGTTTTCAAGCCTTTAAGGAGAACGAATGCCATACGTGGCGCCAATTCTTCCCTAGGTTACATCTTTCCTTCCCTTTGAAGTCCGCTGGGTTGCACAGAGGTAAATGAGAGCAGAATTTGGTCCCTGGAGCTAACAGCGATGTGGAATCACTCTAATTTTTTATTTATTTATTTATTATTTCCTGCCGAGGAAGGACGGATTTTAAGACCCGGTTATAGTTGGTATCGTGCTCTATATTTAATGCTCAGATATTGTAAAAGTGTATATATAAATGTCGGCGCTAATCTTGGCGGGGAGCGCTTCGCCAAGACGGGCGATTAAGGGAGAGGAATCCCCGCTGGCGAAGAAGATTCTGCGGGAGTGTCGTGTTTTCCCAGCGGAGCAGGGGTGAAGAGCACAGAGGACGCTGCAGCCCATCCCGAGCTCGGCCCCCGTACGAAGCCGAAGCTTCCACGGCCCTGCGGGTCAGCCACCGCCGCCTCCGGGGTGACCCGATCCTGGCGGGAGGGAAGGGGTGGAGAGGATGCCGGGGTGCGGAGCAGCTCCGTGGGGAGCGGGGGCTGCCACCGCCCAGGCGGCTCCTCTCCTGCAGCGGGACAAGGGGATAGGCATCTGTGGACAGGCATCCGAGCTCTCTCCAGCCTCACTAGAAAGAGCCCCGCTGCGGCTGGCAGCTCTTTGGGGGTTTACAGTCAGGGGAGATGCTCCTTGTCCTTGGCTTTCCTGGAGTTTAATAGCTGTCTTTAAAGAGGGACATTTATTGGGATAAAAGTGGATTGCAAGCTGCAAAAACATTGCATGTGTCTTTCATCTAAAAGACATCCAGAGCTCCGTTTTTTCCCCTCTCCTCTCTCTCTCTTCCACATCCCCCCC